CGTGTAGCATGATTTTACAAAGAGATAACAATGTACTTACTGCTGTTACCTGTGATTTTATGAACATTTCTTTGCTATACCAATTTAACCATCAACACAACTTAAACAATAGACTTTTAGATTTGGTTTTGTGTAGCGAATTGTGTACGGTCACTTCACCCCATAATCCTTTAGTTGCGGAAGATTTGCACCACAAAGCTCTGAATATTTGCTTAAGGACTAGCACACCTGTGGTTCTTGAGAGGAAGCGCGTTCCAAAAAAATTATATTATAAATCGGACTTTGACTCCATTAATAAGGAACTCAACAAAATTAATTGGGACTCTGCTTTTTTTTTGCTGAATGACGTTGACTCTGTAGTTACATATTTTTATAATATTCTATCCTCACTAATAGACAAATATGTGCCTACCACTATGTCTTATATCGTTAATAATAAATTTCCGCCCTGGTACACGAAAGCTTTAGTTAAATTAAATAATGAGAAAAGAAATCATCATAAGAAATGGAAAAGCTATGGTAACAGAATAGATTACGATGCATTTTCTTTGTTAAGAAAAAGACTCCGTAAGTTAGAACGCGAAAGGTTTGAAAAATATGTGTCTTTCTCCGAAGATCGTATTCGCAAACACCCGAATTACTTTTGGTCTTACGTGAAGTCTAAAAGGCAACTAGGAGATATTCCGCACATTATGTATCATGATGGTACTCCTCTTAGGACCGGTACAGATATTTGTACTGCTTTTAATGAGTATTTCCAGTCTGTTTTTGTCCCTGCAAATAATTTAAACAATCGTAACTTGTATGATACTGACCATAGTGAATATACTTCAGCTAATATTAGTTCTATTAACTTAGATACACATATAATACTTAAAGAACTCAAAACAGTCAACCCACACAAAGGTACGGGGCCCGAATGCGTGCACCCCATTTTTATCGCTAAATGTGCTGAGGCCCTACTAAGACCTATTAATCTAATTTTCCGTTTATCTTTGGAACGTGGTCAATTTCCCCATATTTGGAAGAAAGCTTTTATTACACCAATACCAAAAAGTAATTGTCGCGAATTGGTATCTGAATATAGACCTATATCGAAACTGTGTATTTTTGGCAAAATATTTGAAAAGATAATTACAACTCAACTCTCTCACAAAACAAAAAATATCATATCTGCAGATCAGCATGGATTCTTTAAACATCGCAGTGTCGAAACTAACATGGTTACTTTTGTCGACTATTTACTTAACTCTATGGATAAAAATACACAGGTGGATGTCGTGTACACCGATTTCTCCAAGGCATTTGATAAAATTAATTATAACTTACTAATTGTAAAACTTCGGCGAATCGGTATACACGGCAACCTACTTAGATGGATAGATTCATACATTCGTAACCGCAGTCAGGCTGTTTGTATAAAGGGTTACTCTTCCACGTACTTACCGATAGCTTCAGGCGTCCCTCAAGGCTCTCATCTTGGACCTGTCCTATGCTCTTTATATATTAACGATACCGGCAAGACTTTATGTAATACCAGTCAGCTCTTATACGCTGATGATACTAAATTATTTCGATCGGTTATTAGTTCTGTCGATTGTGGTAAATTACAAGACGATTTAGACTCCTTACTTAAATACTGTTACGAAAACCAACTGTTTCTTAATCCCAAAAAATGTCATATTATCAGCTATACGCGTAAAAAATCTCCTATTATTTACAATTATAAATTAAATAACGAAATTCTTGGAAGGGTTAGTAATATAAGGGACTTGGGTATTATAATGGATAGTAAGCTAACATTTAAATCACATTACGACTCCATAACTCAACGAGCCTTTAGAAACTTAGGATTTATCAACAGAGTCACTAAGCCTTTTAAAAATAGTACCACTATCAAAATGCTTTATTTTAGTTTTGTTAGGTCTATCTTGGACTTTGGAAGCATTATTTGGAACCCATTCTACAAGGAACACATAGATCAGTTAGAAAAGGTCCAAAAAAAATTCATCAGAATTCTAAATTATCGCAACTGTGCCCCATCAGGCTCTTATGAGGAATCTTTAGCTCGATATAAACTACTCAGCCTCCGGGATCGGCGCACGCAGTTTGACATAACTTTTCTATGCAAAATTTTAAATAACTGTATTGAATCAAACATAATTCTCTCCAAAATTAACTTCATCGATAAACTTCGACTTCCTGTACGCTCCTCACGTCTCGGTAAGATATTTACACCACTTCGTTCTCGAAAAAAATACTGTCAAAATAATTTTTTCACACGATGCCCCAATAATTACAATAAGAACTTCTCTGATATAGATTTATTTAGTAACTCATTGCAAAAGTTAAGGCTAATGTTGTTTGAAAATCTGTGTCAATAGGTAAAAAACTTAAACATATGTATGCTGCGTATTACGTAGCCTGCATTATATTCCTAGAGAGGAACCACAAGAAACAAGGGCGGACACCATATCATAACAATCGTGTTGTTATGATATGGTGTCCGCCCTTGTTTCTTGTTCTTTTCATGTTTTTATTTTTCTTTATTTGATATGTTTTGTCTTACACAATATGATATGTAAAAGCTTGCATAGTATTAATATAAGTACTTTACTCTGTAACATCTGTGACTCATGCAGCTTTCTAAGTCAACACATAGACTTTAATTATTACAAAAAACTGATTTCGGCACTCGTTGTCTATCACCCTATGTATGTTTATTGTGTATTTTTTGTTTTAAATGACTGTTTGTGTCAAAATAAATGAAAAAAAAAAAAATATACACCTACACACCTACACCAATATACACTTCTTATTCTAAGCAAATCAATTTTGTCGACAACGATTGTGACGTCGCTAACGAATCGGAATGCGAAGATCCTCAAAATGAAAATTTAAACCAATAAACGTCCTGGAACCGTGCCGCTCAGGACGCCGGTTCAAAGACGGCACATACCTTAAAAAGGTAAACCCCTTTAATTCTAAAGTTACTAAAGTGTTAGTAACACCCAAAGAGGTTATACATCAGGGTAACCAGCCCCAAAACGGGAACCTCAATCCTAAAGTTACTAAAGTGTTAGTAACACCCAAAGAGGTTATACATCAGGGTAACCAGCCCCAAAACGGCAACCTCGATCCTAAAGTTACTAAGGTATTAGTAACATCCAAAGAGGTTATACATCAGGGTAACCAGCCCCAAAACGGCAGCCTCGATCCTAAAGTTACTAAGGTATTAGTAACACCCAAAGAGGTTATACATCCGGGTAACCAGCCCCAAAACGGCAACCTCAATCCAAAAAATATTAAAGCCTCAAAGGCATCTGATCCCAATGAGATTTACGAAGTCAACATTGACACTTCCAAGCGGCTACTACCTCATGTGCTAGTGGAATCAACGGCATTTAATATTCCACTGACTTTACTTGTAGACTCAGGCTCTGCAATTTGTTTGTTAAAACAATCCAGTGTTCTACTACAGCCAACCCTAACCAAAAAGTCTATTAGCATTAAGGGTATTGATCCAGGTGAAGAAACCACCCAAACCTTAGGTCATTTCATCCTGAAATTTAAAATCTCTGACAAGAGATTCATTAATCACAAATTTCACGTCATCAAAGACATCCATTTACCTTACGATGGTATTATAGGAAATGACCTCCTGACGGCTCATGGTTGTAATATTGACTACAGCCGAGACGTCTTGAAAATAAATAAAACCGAATTAAAAATCCATTTCTTTGATCCATGCTACGTCAAACCCCCGCCCGCCCGCATACGTCATACGCACTGAAACCGTGATAGAATGTTCTGTTTCAAACCCAGAAGTCAAGGAAGACCTTGTATTAGATCAACACCTTTCTGACACCCTACTTGTGGCTAACTGCCTAGTGAAGGTAAAAGAGAATAAAAGGATTAATATATCTGTTATTAATACCTCTCACAAATCAATTCCAATCAAGCGAAATCTTAACCTTAAATTTGATCCCATGGGAACATATCGTCGCTGTTATACCAAAATGTCATATGTTTAAATGCCTAGTTTCAGGGAACACAAAAAACTGTTTTATACATAATACATTATATAAATTTTGATAGCTTTTTGATAGCGTTTTGATAGCTTTAAAAATGAAAATAGAAACAAGGTTTTCTTTTGTAAAATATTATATTTCTCAAAAAATAATCATCCAGCTATAAAATTTAATGTAACTTATTTCGAATTAAACTTATAAACCACTACTTATCTCTATTAATTACTTCCAGTCGCTTTGCTTAATTTCAATAATCAGCCTCATCTATAAAAGTTCAAAACATCTAAAACAATCGTTTTCAAAAGTTTTTAATACTATTATTCCTAATTTTAATAGTAACTTATAAATTTAAAATTGCAAACTGTTTGAAACAACCAAAAACTTTATAAATAATAATAAACAAACAAAATTTTTAATAAAAAAATTAAATAAAACAGCCACTTTAGACTAAAAAATAATTGTGTTTACTCTATTTTACCTAATTGCTTAACAAGCCGTTTAGAATCAGTCTTATTTAAAAAGTATAATTATATCAAAACCTTAATAATACTCAAAATTATCACATATTTTGAAACTCACAACTAGTACATAAAAATCCAACAAAATTATAATCAACAAAATCTTCAAAGTTGTTTAATGCTAATCTTAATAAAAATGTTAAGAGATCTAATAACATTACAGTTATCAAATCACAGTTAAAGTTAACAAATAATCGGGTAACTTTGTTTGGTACAACATTATTATTACATTAGTTCAATACATTTTTTATATGAGGACAAGATGCTTGATTATGGCATGCGTGAGATAGGGTATCATAATAAGAATGGTAATTTTCGTGAATTAAAGATTTCAGATCTTGTAAATCTTGAAATTTGCGAATATCAATATTTTTCTTCGAATTGTTGAGTGCAGGAAGTGTAATGTTTTAATATGGTAATCTTGTTTTTTGGGGGCAAAAGTGTCAAATCATCATCGTACAATATATTCAATGGTGCCATTAGGATTATATTTTAAGCAACGAATATCATTTACGATGCTATCACCATCCCTGTTTCCAGGTCGTATGCTTGAGTAGTATTGAATTTTTGAATAATCTTTGAAAAAGTTGTAGTTGCGACTGTGTACTTCGTATAGCCCTAGATTTTTTCGAGCTGATTCAATTATGCTGACATACTCAGCAGGAATGTAAATATAATCTTTTTTCTGTATTTTTCTCTCAATCACACTGTGCTCTGAATCTACCTCCATGAAAGTATGCCCATGTTCCAAATACTTGTGCTCAATAACTATTCCAAGTGTAACAGCACAGTGCAAAATTGCATTCGCAACTACTTGGTTTCGATTTTGATAGCAACAGCCATTGGACCATAACACTATCTTAGTCAAATTGATTTCGGATCTTTGAAATTCTGTATTTATTAGGTCACTATAAAGAGATGCAAAAGCTTCTGCTTCTAGCCCACCATTGACTTCATCCCACAAGTAGCATCTACCATGTCGCGTCACAAGATCGTATGAAGTAAAATTATGAAATTTTAGTTTGATCTTGTAATATACTTTGGATACATTTAGTTTTGGTGCCAACAACACTGCTTGAACATCCACACAATATACTGTCATCGTATTATCCAATTCCGCAAGTCTTTTATCATTTGATTTTTCTTCCTCAAAATGTGTGAATCGTATGAACTCTGATCCACTCTGGATTAAGTAAATGCAAAACATGTATCACACTGATCTTTACGGTTTTGAAACAAAGTCATATTTCTTTTCTTTAATTCTTGTGAAAAGTGGGTCCATGAGAAGTGTTTAATATTGTCTTCAGCGGCTTGTTTTTGGTAAAAACTGTAAAGTTCTGTCAGGGTTGACCAATTTGGTTCCAGATAAGTCCTTGTAGAAGTAGCACGACAGTAGTGCGATTCCATTTTTGGAAAAGCATCTAGGAAAGATTCAAAATGATGTTGACGTTCAGTCTGAGTTTGTAATGGACGTGGTTCCGCTAGGTTAGGAATTCCACTTTGGTTACTCAACGCCCACATTCTTACGCTCTTTTCACCTAAATCAAACGTGTTTAGAAACATTTGTTTGCAGACACGAAATTTTGTCTCATCAACCCGTAAGTAATAATCAAAGTAATATTTCTACGGGAGCTGTCATTATTTGGCCTTCTAGGTGTTGGTGGCACTTTGGTAACTAAACTTGCTATATAAACTTTTCTTTGTTCCCAATTTAAATTTTTCCAAAAGTTGCTGTGAAGATGTTTTCTTGCTTCTTCTGTTAACTTCCTACAATCAAATTTGGCGGATTTACAGTTACAAGCATCCTTCATTTCTCTACCAGGTCTTAAAGGACAATGGGCATTGCGGCCCATGAGCGGCCATCAATGAAACTAGTGTCATTAGAAAGGGGAGATCTTTGACAACAAATATTGTTCAAGGAGTACTATGAAATACCGTTTGGGAAAAAAAGTTAAAATACTATTATTAAAATTACTATTTTTTATCCTAATATTCAATACTTATTCTATTAGAGGTCTAAGAACCTTTGTTAAAATCGGTCTCGCCATGTTTCATGCGTCAACCAATCAACGACGAGCGCCGCTCGCACTCGGCGACTCGGCGATTACCGTTATGCTCAAGCGCACAGCGCAGTCCATCGTTGACATTTGTTTCGTTGAGTACTGTGCGATTATTATTGTTTGACAATCTCTTTCGACTCTGGCTTGCATATCGGACTTGTTAGTATCTATCTTGGTGACTTGTGCTCGTTTTTGTGGACTTTTTTAAGCAGATTCCTATAACAATGGCAGAAAATCGCCAAGTGAACAGAAGAAGATACGAAATAACCCGTGCTCGGTTTGAAGAACATCCCGCTGTAGGCCAATATATCTTTGAAGCTCTGACCTCTGAACATCAGGTAAGTACATCAAACGAAATCATTATTTCTTAGTTGTCACGTCAACAATATAGTACTGTTTAACTTGAGGTGGTCACAGTGTTTTAACTCTCGCGCATTGAGATTACATTTCTCTGTAAGTAGTAAGTAAACTGTTATCGACGCGGCGACGTTGTCGTTCCGTTTGATCCACGGGGAGAGAACGGGATAGAAGTATCGGTATTTACGTATGAGTAAGCGAGATAATTAATACTGCTTAGGCAATCGAGTAAAATATTTTTCTTTATATTACGCTTTGTTTGAACAGCGTTCAATGAAAACAACTAAGCGTTTTGACTAATTGTAATACTCTCATTTTCAGATACAATACAATGGCCAGGAGTACATTTGTCGACCATGCTGGCAACGGGCAGAAAGAGCTGCGCAGCCAAGAGAAGACCGTCCACACGAATGTGTATTACATATTGAAGAATATTCAAGACTCCCTAATACAGACACAATACCCTAATACCCTAATACAAAACTGCAGACGAACGGATCTCCGAAGGATTCCGGATAACATTAAAGTGACATTCTTGATTCATTTTAATTTTTATATTCCAAATAGTGCAAGAGTTTGCGATCATCATTTCGTATCCAATGATTGGGATCAAATAATTGACAGCCCTAACTTGCTCCACGACTTCAATGCCACACATTTTGTGCATATCATGAGCCTCATGAAAATCGCGGTGCTTCGAGGATCTATACTAGATTTTGATAATATAGATGACATGGACCCAAATGAAGTATACATCCGATTAGGCGTTAGTCGAGACCAATTTATGAATATTTTGGAACAAACTCCTTCATTGTCGAACGTATCAACACGCCTGAAAACATCTTTGGCATGCTACTTAATGAAACTGCGAAGCGGTGAAGTAAATGAAAGGCTGGCGACGCTTTTTAATATGAGCCGTAGAACCCTAGAACGACATTTAACGTTCGCCAGAGACTCTCTTTTACTGGACTTCGTTCCCCGGCATCTTGGTTATGATCATCTCAATAGAATTGATGTAGCTAACCGAAACCTACAAGTTCCAAATGCAATTTTAGGAAATGCAAATGCCTTAAACAGAAAGGCAATTGTGATAGCAGACGCTACTTATATATATATACAAAAGTCCGCAAACTATTTATTCCAAAAGCGATCATACAGTCTACACAAATACACGAATTTGTTGAAACCGTTTTTAATAGTGTGCTGCGATGGCCACATTTTAGATGCCTTTGGGCCATATTCAGCCATAGAATCAGACGCACAAATAATGAAAAATATGATTGACGACGAAGGAAATCCTTTCCATTGGTTTTTTGAACATGGAGATGTGTTCATCTTAGACCGCGGGTTTCGCGACGTAATCGACGACTTACATGCCTATGGTTATGAAGCTCACTTACCGAAAACAAAAAATCGAGACGAAGATCAATTGACGACAGAACAAGCGAATAAGTCTAGGTTGGTTACTATGTGCCGCTGGGTTGTTGAAGTTATAAATGGTTGGTTCAAACGCGATTTTAAACTATTCCGACAAGACTTTTTCAATCAATATGATGACAGATTTTAGAATAGGTGCTGCATTATTGAATGTTTGCAGAGAACCATTGTCAGATAGCGTTCATGCTGAAACATTTATAGAGGTTATAAACCAAAGAATGAACCAACCAAATAACCTAGCAGAGTATGTCCTAGCCAACAACCTTAATCGTAGACGGGCTAGTTTCGATAGCATTACAGGAAACCAACCTAACATAAGTCATTTTCCTTTGCTGACTGAGGAGGATTTAACCATTTTTGCACTTGGTACATACCAATATATTATTCGTCAAAAATATATTATTCGTACATTATAGTAGATACAGAGAAAAGCGGCAGAGAAGCCATAGAAAACTACTATTGCAGTTGTCTGAGCGGTAAACGCGCTCTTGGTTGCTGTGCCCACATTATGTGTGTAGTGTGGTATTTAGGGTGGGCGAGAAACCAAGAGGAAGAGATCCGTTTACCAGCTCATTTTTTAAACGATGTTATTGTAGACGAGAATTGAATCCCATCATTTTCTTTTTTTAAAGGAATACTAGCATTATATACGAGCATTGTATATGTGTCTGTCAATAAATCGATGTATTTAATAACCAATAAACCTTTAGTTTTATTTAATCCATCATTTTCTTATACTTAGATATGCATTACGTTTTATCATTTACGTACTTTCGGTTTAATTAATTCGATTTTTTTATATGATCAACGCTTTATAACTTTTTATCTAAACAAGTTGCCGAAATAATTTTTTGCAGTCTTAATATATACATAATTGTCGATTAAAAAATATATAGGACAGATGTGGCCGCCGATGGGACAAGCGCCATACATTTTTGCCCATTGTCCTTTGTTTGCGTCCATTTACCTGCTTGCTTTTTTAACCCTTTGTATATTTTGCCTTGCATTCGTCTCAACTTTTGTCGATTTCTGTCCCATTGTGTCTGTCTTCTGATACCACGTCTTTTTTTTGTTATAGAAATGTTTTCAGAATTAGAGTCACAATCTGTTGAAGATTCCTCTAGATCCGGTTCATAGCCACAGTCTTGCTCATTATCACTACAATTAAATTGTAAATGTTGTTGCATAGTTTCAGATATTAAGCTGGAAGTTTCGTTTAGGTCGTGATTCCGAAATTCCCCAGTCTTTTCGTCTAGAAAAATAGATGTCGAAATTAAAGGAGATGGGCTGGAACAAGCTGCGGTTTGAATATTTCCCCCCATAGGTTCATCAAATTAGAAGCCAGATTCTAGTGTCATTGTAGGCGCTTTTGAGTTGGATGAGGTGACTATGTTATTCAGACTGGGTGTATTGTTTCATCTAAAAAAACGTGGATTTAAAGTAGATGGACTGGAACAAGGTGATTTCTGAAGGAAGGTCTCATGAACTACATTTTTCATTGTTTCATCTTCATTAAAATCTTATTCTTGGGGTGGTAGGTTGGCTATTGCAATAGATGGTAGGAGTACAAGGCATAACGAAATCAGATTCAAAGTCACGTGCCGTAATTGTATGATTGATAATTTCTGTACTGGAAAAGGTGATTTTGTATAATAGTTGCTTCCTGTGTACAGGCAAACATTGTTTTATCTTGATCATATAAATCGACTTCAACATCAAGATTACCTTCCAGCATATTGTTATCACTGATACCTGATAAATTGAGTGCTCTTTGGAGTAGATCTCTTCCTCTGCTATGTCTCTTCATTGTAGTGAGAATGCTGACCTGTGAATGAAATTACTTTTTAAATGCTACCTCAAAGCAGGTTACTGGACAAACAAAACTTATTTACAACAAGCTAACTAATCTTATTAATCCTAATGCCTGCGAATTCATAGGACTTTTAAATTATCATACTTATGTTTACTCTAAAAAAAAAAAGTAAACAAAAATTATTTATAAATAAATAGTGGTTGTATACTGGGCAACTGTTATTAAACTTCTACAGGGGCCAGTAAACCATTTTCATAATTGTTAATACGTAATTATAAATTTGCAATAAACACAAGGGTTAATAAGATGTACCAATGATTATGTATACATATGTTAAGTATTTAAATTACTCTTATGGACAAAAAGGGCTTAATATAGGTCATTATAGGAAACAATAAAATTAAAAATCAAAAACTCTTATGTGTGGAAAAAAAC